TGGGGACCCATATATCCAAACTTTCATCACCCACCTCCGATTTGCCGACAATATAGTCATCATGGCAGAATCGCTGGAGGACCTTAGTACTATGCTCAATGACCTCAACAGTGTCTCCCAACGGGTGGGCCTTCAGATGAACATGGACAAGACGAAGATCATGTCTAAAGTCCATGTTACGCCAATACCGGTTGTTGTTGGGAGCACTGAGCTCGAAGTTGTTGAGGAGAATATTTACCTAGGACAGTTAGTCCGGCTCGGTAAGTCCAACTTCGCCGCAGAGGTCAATCGGCGAATACAACTCGGATGGGCAGCGTTCGAAAAACTACAGCAAATCTTCTCGTCAAATATACCTCTATGTTTGAAAACTAAAGTCTTCAATCAATGTGTGTTGCCAGTGATCACCTACGGAACCGAGACGTGGTCCTTCTGGGGCTAATGTGGTTGAATTTTTGTTCACATGACTCTACTGAAAGACTATTAAAAAGACTCTACTTTTACGGTGGTAGGGCCACGCAGCAGCCTCGGCTGTTGCACGAATAGGCAGGCTCGTTCGGGTAAGTACCACGACCTCACAGAAGACCGGCGTAAAGTGGAAGTATAATACTTTCGCGTTTCGTCTGGTGAGTGAGGTGGCCTTAGCCTAATTTTCAAAAAGGTTGTCAACCCTCGGGTGTAGCAGATGCGTTGCAGATGGGTGTAGCAGATATGGGCGGCGGTATTCACTTAACATCAGGTGAACCGTCTGCTGGTTTGGCAACTTTTGGCAACAATAAAAAAAAATACTGAAAGAGGTTAACCATACATAAGAAGAAATTGTTTCTGTGGTATTAATTTCATGAAAATGATAGCTTTATCCACGAGAATATGTCAATTTGTGTTAAATTGAACTCCGCACCGTCCGACCTCTCGGAATTCGGTCCGATTCCCCGATAGTTCTTCGTTCGTTTGATGGTAAGTCGCATTGGAATGTTAGCGGCAGGCGAGCACTATTAACATTGCTCAATTGAGAATCAATCGTGAACCAATTATAAAGGCCCCAATTGTCTGTCACAGAGTTCTTGGTAAGTGCCTCAAGTTTGGTTTTGATGTTCGCGTGTCAAAACGTTCTTTAAGTAGCGATAAACTAAATGAGGCTATAAACGCGAATTCCTTTAGAATAGGTTCGAGGAGAGGGAGAGATAATTTTCGAAATAATTTAAACAGTTTGATTTATGTTTCTTTATGATTCCATTACACAATCTAACACAAGATTTATTATACCATATGTACACAATATTTCTAATCACAGCTTTTCTCAATTGTGTGTCATGCGTTATGCAGCTATTATACATATTATACTTATGTATATAAGAATATTTTTCAGTGTTTAGGATGACACAGCAATCAAAACACAATTGAGTTTCTCTGTAATTAAAGATTTATTGTAAGATTTTGAAACTATAACAAATAATAATTAAAATAACAAAAATAAAAGATTTTACTATTAAAACTTTACCTGTAATTAAAGAAACGACATTTAATGTTAATAATCACAATGTCGATTCCTAAATCACTATTTACTTATTAAATATCTTTGTAATCAGATTATTTTCATGAATTGCTTCATATGACAGCTTAATTCTTTTTCTGTTATAATCCGGCGTACAAACATAGTTTTTAAAATAAATTTTATCAACGGCCGGTGCGCGAAAATATTTAAATTAAAGAAAATATTTAAATAAAAGAAAATAATATTTTTCTTTACATGTATATATATAATTACAAAAAACTTACGTTACATTAATTTTATTTCGTCAATTATTAATATGTATGAATGTAGGCCAGCGGTATATTGCTCGAGTGGTTCATAACTTGTAGTAGGCAATAGTCCATTAGTTTTTTGTATACTTATTCCACGCTTATAACTATAGCCGTTAGGTATAAGCTTAAATGATATCTGACATGTGTTTGTAAAGTCAAACAGATACAATTATGCTCCTAAGCATGACGAATAGGTAATATCCGAGTGGTCGCTAGGAACGCCAAGCACGCGGGAGGCGGCGCGGCGGCGCGAGATGCATCTCCCTTGACACGACAATGGCTGCGGGCTCCCAGATTAATTAGGAGCGGTCGACGCTCCGCGTACACTCATCAGATACTACGACATCGCGAGTCGCGGCTGTCAATTTTTAAGGTACAATTGAACTTCTAAAAACTTTAGATCGAGTAAAAAAACAAATAATTGCCTTTCCCGTAAATGTAATTACTTTTTATTTGCTTAAATCGATATGCTCACAAATTATACACTATCAATATTAAATCGAAGTGGAGATAGAGAATAATCATATACTAATCGTTTACTGCATTTTTGGAAACTTATAAACTGCGCGGGTGAGGCCAACGGCAGAAGCTATTGGCATAGCTGAGAAAAGACACGTGGAGCGAAACCGAGCAAGACGTGCGATGCTTGATGGCCGCGGTCCGTCGCGGGCAGGGCACCGGGCAGCTGAACAGCTGTGGCCAGTTGGCCACCAGTCGGTCGTGAGGTGCCCGGGCGCCTGCACGCGTCTGCTTGTGTGTGTGTCACGTGAGCCGACCGCCCGGTGAGGCCGCGATAGATCGGTCAATTCCATCGAAACGCCTTGTATAATGTGCCAGTGATAACATCCAATTTATTTGTGTCAGTTGGCCCACATTTTATAAGTTAAGGTTTAGATAAAATTTATAATGAATTATTAGTTACAATTCTATGCTAGATCGCGAATCACGTACTTGTTTGTAAACATCAAATTGTGCATTATTAATCTCGTTGATTATTTAACATATTGTAATAAAATATATTCAAAACTTTTGACACCGGACTGAGCTAGGTAATATTTACAAATGAAAATACGTAAATGTGAATAGATGAAGTAAATTTTAATAAGTTGTTATTATTTGAAAAATAATTACAATGATTGCTTATAAAAAGATGATTTGTCAAAGGTATGTAAATGTACATTCGTCCCTCAGATTATTAGTAGGTAGTCATAAATCCATGGGTAACAGGTTCCAATAGGAACCTTACAAATCGCTTGAATGTTAAACGTGTTTCCCTCATTAGATTTCACAACATTAAGTTCCGATTAGTGACCATGTTATGTTGCTTATGATGAAAAGTTATTATACCAACATCACCCAGTTGAACGTCTAATGACAAATTGAATTAAAGAGATTCGCTTCAAGTCATTTTAATGATGTTCCATTTTTTATGTATCGTTTGATAAAATAACGAGGTATGACTCCTTCCATATCTAATGCCAGTGTCTAACGAGTGAACAGTGTAATGTGTAAAGGGAAACGTATGCAAGGAACACTTAAGCAAAAGTGACCACTCACCATACCATCGACGGTGCAATCTGCCTAATACACGATTATCACAAAGTACTTTCAGAAACACGAGCACTACAAAAATGTTTCTAGAGACTCGAGTTGTTGCGTGCGAATATCCAACGCAAACATTTACAATGTTCGGTACTTTCAGAAACTTTATATAAAAACTGTGTCTGTACAGTAGCTTTTGCTACGTATATTACACCGTTATTAAAAAAACTATGATTGTACAAAATATTACCAGTCCAACTGCTGTTGAAGGCTGCTTAATACAACATTTAGCTTCACAACTTGTAAAGTTGAAAGAAGAACTATCATTTACACAGGACACGCTAGCTATACAAATAATCTAAACGTGAGCAATTCTTAACAACTAGACTAATTTTGAGAATGCTAATTTTGACTAATGGATTTTGTAATGTTCGTAGTAAACATTTATTTGTTTTCTCATCCTATACGTTGTTCGTGGCACCTTGACTTGACGGGGTTTTTGTGGAACGTCACCTACAAACATATGTATGCACCTAACCAATAATAATAATGTGCTAAAATGTCAGATAAATTTGGCACACGTCGCCTACACACCTAAAGCCGCTTCTACGTTTGCAATTATTAGATTTTAGGATTACTTTCTTTTAGGATTACTTCTTTAGATTAAGGATTAAAGGAATCTCATTACGAAACGGTGAAAGATTAAAAAAATTACTATCGATAGATGAAATGTATGTTTCTTATGTCGATGAATAAATAATTTTGATTTTTTGATTTTTTTTTTGGATTCATTTGATGGAACATTTTCATGTATTGTAATGATTTAAAAAAAATAATGAGTTTTTATTATGCAACAGAATATCTCGCGGATGACCGTTTTTACCTACTTAGATGACACTTATCATTACCTATATTTTGGACAATTCGCACAATATCTTTATAAATTATAGATTATGTCTTATTCTGATGCATAAGCTACATTATTGTAAAGTTTCATTAAAATCCATTCAGTGGTATTTGCGTGAAAGAGTATCAAACATCCATCCATACATACAAACTTTCGCCTTTATAATATTAGTAAGGATTAAGTAAGGAAGTAAGGATTGCATACTTTGCCCTCGGCAACTACGCTCATTGTCTACACTACACTAAAAAGTGTCTTGCTGTGAATCAAAAATTACCAATGATGTACTTTTACAGAATTATGCCGTATTTTATATTCAGTATAATTATATTAAATTATTATATATATAGATATATATATATATATATATAGATAATATATATATAGAGAGATATATATATATATATATATATATATATATATATATATATATATATATATATATATATATATATATATATATATATATATATATATATATATATATATATATATATATTTTTTTTTTTAATTATAGAATAGGAATTGACTTTACAATATAATGATCCCTTCTAAAAACAGTTTGCTAACAGACATCTGTCACATTAGAAACTATGCAATGACTAACAGCACTCGAACCCTTCCGGCCAATAACGGTGACAATAATTGAGAAGAGCAAATGAGCAAGGAGCAAGAGCATACTTTCGCAACAGCCTGGGTAAATCCAAGTTTTATATTACACTATTTATTTGATCCTATGCGGCTATTTTTAGGCGCGCGCCGTTTTTCTCTTGTCGCGGTTTACACCTTGAGCGGCGGAAACCCCTCCGGCGACGCTGCAGCCCTCCTCCCCTGACGAACCGAGCAGGCCATTTGCATGGCCGCGTGCAAAAATATTTTTTGATTGCACTGTCTGATCTTAGTAAATGCGTATTGTCTAATACATTGTGTAATCCCAAATCTTTGGTTTCTTATTTCTTTTGAATAATTTTTTAAACATACATCTCAAAGAAAGTCTTCTTTTGCAGACGGTTCACCTGATGTTAAGTGAATACCGCCGCCCATGGACATCTGCCACACTCGAGGGTTACAGATGCGTTGACAACCTTTTGAAACTTGGGCTGCTTACCGAGTATGATATTACAAAGGAAGAAGACACCTCCAATTTTATTGGAATATACCTATCCTTTAATTAGTTTATGTTTGTAAATGATTGTATAAATATACCTACTCTGAGGGACCTTCACATTAGAAGTTTTTGTGTTCCGAGGATAGTAAAGAAAAAAAGTATGGTTTTGCAGGTCGCTCTGATCAATTTTATCTACAGCTTCTATCGCGAACTGTAGCCAACACCGCAGTCAACTAATTGCGTGTTATTATTTCTGATGTGTAATGATCATCTTTAATTTCATAAGTACCTGGAGGACTTTGCTCGATTTTTTTTTTGTAAATCGTGTATTTTGGAAATTACATTTAAATACAAATTACTGAGTAATGAAATATGCATAATATTTCTCGATCTCTTACCGACCGCGTAATAATAAGAAAATATGAACTGGTGTTATTCACAAAAGAAATAACTTTAAAAAAAAAGGGAAAAAAAACAGAACAAAATCATCTGGATCGACAAAAAATTTAAAATAAAGAAAGCAATGATCTGAAATCCTAAAAAGTGTGTAAATGATCGTGATACGAACCGCGGCCATCTGTTTTGGGGCTGCCCGATTACCGACCGAGCTATTATAGCATTTTTTTTTTGCGGCGAAATTTACCGCCATATTCGAATAATATTTTCCATTCCCTGAAAACAGGGAAGGACATTTTCTAAAAAATTAAACCTAGCTGGATCGATTTTTTGCCCCCGAATCTACCCACATACTAAATTTCATGAAAATCTCTGGAGCCGTTTCCGAGATCCCGAGAGATTATATATACAAGAATTGCTCGTTTAAAGGATAAGAAGATATGCCCAAATTTATCTTTACTAATATTAGAATCGGGAAAGTTTGTATGTGTGGATTTGTTACTCTTTCACCAAATTACTACTGAATGGATTTTAACAAAGAGTACATTATTAATACAGTCATCAGTCTCCTCGTGAGACAGCGCCATCTCTTGATGCGGGACCGAACTACAAGTTCAGATGTATATCTAACTAGCAGCCCGCCCCGGCTCCGCTCGGGTATTTAACAAAAATTTTAAAATTTAAAATTATCACACAACATACATAAAACCTTCCGAATATTTCGTCTTTGGTGAATAACTTTATGAATTTCTTCATCTTTTAATGAAATACCCTTGAAATTCCGTCATGAAGATCAAAAGACCGCTGCCCGGATAATACTTTCACTTAATTTAAGGGACATTCGGGGTTACACATAAATGACAAATAATTCTGGTCTCCCATAGCTTCGGACATAAATCATCGCATCTTGGATTTTTAATGCAGATAACTTGGAGAACATGTAAATGAATATGACGTTGCAGATTATGCGTTGAGCGAAATTTCATGGGTCAATGTTCTTGATTTAAAGCGTCTTTAAGATGAATGTTTCACCTCAGTCTCTGGTGATCATATGTCATTCAATCTTTGAACCGGCCAAGTGCGAGTCGGAGTCGCACACGAAGTGTTCTGTACCGACCTTACAGAAGACCGGCGTAAAATAGAAGTGTTATACTTCTACGTTTCGTCTGGTGAGAGAGGTAGCCGGGACCCACTTTATTTAAAGATGGCACCTCATTTGCTACCTTTACAGGTGTTGCAAATGTCCATGGGCGGCGGTTATTACTTATCATCGGGTGAACCGCAAGCTCGTTTGCCACTCGCTAAGATATTAAAAAAATCATGTTTTAAAATTCATATTCAATAAAGAAGTATTACACTTAAATATTGTCAAAACATTACTACTGTCAACATTATCTATAAAAACGGCAAAAGATCATGTCTGTTTTATGGGAGCTCACTTATTTATACTTTTTTGTTTTTTAGTATTTGTTGTTATAGCGGCAACATAAATACATCGTGTCACGGGGTTGAACTCCTCCGAAACGGCTCGGCCGATTTTTACCAAATTTTATATGCGTATTCAGTAGGTTTGAGAATCGGCTACTATCTATTTTACGTCCCCCTAAATGTTAAGGGGGTAGTCCACCCCTAATTTTTATTTTTTATATAAAACTTTTTGTTTCTATTTTTTTATGACACAGCATACAAAAATACATACAACCCTAAATTTTCACCCCTCTACGCAGACGTAGTCGCGGGCAGCAGCTAGTAACCTATACTGATTAACCACTTTGTTTTTACAGTTGAGAGCTGTATTCAACTACAGTTTTCTATATAGTGTATATGAAATTTATTTAATTTATATTTGATAACATTGCATATAAAACTGTAATTGGATACAAGCTTGCTAGATGTTATTTTTGTATAAAGTAAATAAAATACAGGAATATGTTTTGAGAATTTTATTTGGTTTTTTATAATATTCACTCGCTATTTTTTTTAATAATATTTGTTATGAATGATTTTGAGTCAGGTGCCGTTTAGTAAAATATTTTTTGGCTATCCAAAATCAGTAAATTTCCTCCA